TAATGAATCGTAAACAGTAGTAATAAATCGTAAACAGTAGTAATGAATCGTAAACAGTAGTAATGAATCGTAAACAGTAGTAATGAATCGTAAACAGTAGTAATGAATCGTAAACAGTAGTAATGAATCGTAAACAGTAGTAATGAATCGTAAACAGTAGTAATGAATCGTAAACAGTAGTAATAAATCGTAAACAGTAGTAATGAATCGTAAACAGTAGTAATGAATCGTAAACAGTAGTAATGAATCGTAAACAGTAGTAATGAATCGTAAACAGTAGTAATAAATGCAAACAAAAGTGTAAGAGGCGTCTACAGCCGTTACCTGCACTGCTCGCCTCTGTGCAAGTCTGTAATTTACATTTCTTCTTCTTCTGTTCTCTAGACCACAGGTTCTCAAACAATTTTCGTCAGGGGCAGCCTTGTCGGGCAACAATTGTTTCTTTCTCGGCACACCTTATCCTGAAAGCGGTTTGAATACTTAGGTAATAAAGGGAAAAAAAAAAAAAAAACAACAGTGCACATTTAATATTTCGTTTCTTTTAATGCGATGAATAAAACAGTTGGGATGAATTTTTTTAATTATTTGCTTTATGTATATGGGAAGTTTATTTTACCCATAAATTAGTTGACCAAGAAAGTTTGCTAATTATGTGTTTTTCCTCGTTTCCTTTATGTAAATTACGCTAAGAATGCACTGCAGCCTTGTCAATAGCTTTATCTTCTAAATACACCTGCATCCAGAACACTGTTTGGCTTCCTTCAAGGTATCTTTGCTTTAAACTGCTGTCTTTGCTGATCTCAGTCAGATTTGGAAACGTTCTTGATTATTGCCGCGATACCCCTGGCATACAATTTCGACAGCCCTGGGTGCCGCGGTACCCAGTTTAAGAACCGCTGCTCTAGACTGCGTTTTCCCTTTCAATGTCATGTTTTGAAAAGGCATCTAGTGCGGGCCTTGGTGTTTGCTACACTGATGCCGGCATGCATGACCTTCTTTAGATATTACATCTATCCACCGATTGCCTTGCTGACCGGCAGCTCTGCTTGCGCTGTGTCCACAAGTGATAGGGCGTATCGAGGTGCACTGTCTTGCGATAGTCTTGAATGAATCAATAAATAATTGACATCACTGCTCTCCGGACATTTCCACACGTGCTCCGTCCCCTTCTTCGGTAGCCAACGAAGAGTTTTATATATGTTTTGCTAATAGTACCAATGCAGCCTGATTAAAAGTCCACCAATGTTTCCTCTTCGATGCTGATTATCTTTCAGAACTTCTACACACATCCAGTTTAATTTGTCTGTCCGTGCATGGATTTCCTGTCTCTTCTTTTGCACTGTGCATTAGATCACATAGAGCAGGGCTTGTCAACTAAGTTAACGCACGGGCCATAATGTTGAAAATTGGGTGTTCGTCACGGACCAGAGGCACACGCTGTCAGGAGGTGCGGCACGGTAACTATAGCTTTCGATTTTTATATTGTCTAGTGTGTTCTTCTATCTTTCTACTTCTTTATGTGAGTGCCAATCAATACACTTTCTGTTACTTGATTAATTTAATGCAATACATCTGGCAATGATCCGTGGACCACTTGCTAAGTCTCTGCGGGGCTGATTTGGCCCGTCTGCCGCCACATAAATACCCTTGCCATAAAGCCTTCACTTTATCCTATAGCAGCTCACCGCCCAGAAGGACGGCAGCTGCTATATCTATCAGTCTGCTCGTTACCTCGCAAACCTGAATAGTCTTGATAGTCTTGAAACATGTCGGAACCATTTGATCTGTTGCTTCTGTAGTTTAACACTGATTCCGTGCTTCACGTCTCTGATTTGGTCTCTTCTTGTTAAATTTTTTTACCAGTGGCGAGGCTTGTCTGTAATGGAAAGGGGTGGGAGAGGGGAGGGGGGGGGGCGTTTTATGGGCTCTGTTTTCCGCCCCTTGCCATAGCACATTACAACAATGTCGTCTCGAAAGTTGCAAATCAGCGCCGAACATTTCTCCAAGAGAAATATATAAGGAAATCGAAACCAAACGTATCGGATAAGACGCATACTAGAACTTCACACATGGGAGAGACATTTTAGTAAAAAAAAAAAAAAAAAAAAAAACTGCGGCCGGATTCGACACAGAATGTTTGGATTGCCAACGATTCGAATATTTCAAAATTTTAGTAATATAAATTTATGCATTGACGACATTAAAAGTTGTAAGACAATAACATTACAACAAATTTTGAGGGGAGAAAAAACAAACTATCAAACGACCTTATTAAAAAATGTGCTAAAAAGTCATTAAATTGTTTTAATAGTCATTGCTATTGTCTAAAGATGTTTTGGGAAGCTGAAAACATAATAGTGCTCATTAAAACCTATTCGACAAATTTATAACCGTAATGTGATGATAAGATTGTTAAAAAAAAAAAAAAAAAAACTATCCGTGTGTATCTACTAAAATATCAAAACATTTAGTCAACTGAAAAATATATATATATATATATATATATATATATATATATATATATATATATATATATATATATATATATATATATATATATATATATATATTTTCTTTTGTTAACATTATTCTATGTGGAGCAAATTTTTTGATGGCTTTATATATTTCGTTTCGCAAATTTGTTCTACACATAAAATGCAGTGCAACTTTACAAACACCCTGTATAACAAAATTCACGCTGTTCTGTCCACATTGATCCCTTAGCATTTATCTAAAAAGATTTAGCCTTGATTATAAACAGCGGAATGTTAATATTTACGTTGCAAAATTAGCAACGGTTTTGCATGTTTCCAAAAAGTTTTCATCATCATCATCACGTCACATAGGTTTAGCATCTCCTCCCCCCCCCCCCCCCCCCCCCCCCCCCCCCCCCGTCCGTTCTGTTCATCTAATTTCTGGTACTGATTTATTACCTCTGTATTCACTAACGTCGGGCTCTCATGCGGGAGACCTGGGTTCGACATCCCGGTAAAGTTTTTCTGTCGGGAGCAAAATTAAACATCCTAACATGCACAGTCCGTGGCGACAGCATTTGCCATGCGACCCTAAATGCTCGGGCTCACGACCCCGTGTCTACATCGCCCTAGAAATCTGGTTAAAACAGATGGTAGTTAAATCCACTAACTAATCCAGTGTACTGGCGTCTGCGGTTTGGGCGTTGCAAATAAGCTTCGTAATGCCGAGGTGCCGGGTTCGATCCCATCTGCAGGCGATATGGCAGCATACCGCCTTGCGTTGGATTCGATGGCTATATCGAGAACCGATCGTTTCAGTAGGGAATGGCAAACTACTAAACTTAAAATTGTGCAGTAAAATCACACACAGACACACCTCTCTGGGGCTTGTTATGTAACATATTGTAAAGGACATGAGGGAGCTGCAAGGTCTCGAGGCAAGGTGTTTACCTCGAGTGCTAGAGGCTCCGAGTTCAATTGTAGGTAAGGGCTGAGATTTTTTATTTGGGCTTGGACTTCTAGTAATTCCCCCTGGTCTCTGGGTAGTGAGATCGGACGCCCGTGTGCATTGTTGGCAGTTGGAAATCGAAAAGAGTAGCTGACGGCGCTGCCTTGGCATAATTTTGAGTTAAAACTCTACCCAAAGTATTTCAGGATCCTCGCCGGTACTACAGAGCCTGTACACTGTGCTGAGCTTCTTCAGACTCAGACTTGAGTTCGAAGAAGAACTAAGCACTTATGGTTTACTACCCGTGTGTCATGATGTTCATCCGTTGTTCAAACTTCAAATCTCAAACCTGTACAGGACATGCCGTTACTTCTAGGGTAGATACATAATAAGTTTTTGTGTTATAAGGCACACATCTGGCAGATCTGCATGTTTTGTAGTTACCATCTGTATGTGTGTTTTTAAATAGAAATGAAAGGATTACATATATTTTCTATCTGATATCAGGTTAGGACAAAAGGTATGTAGTCTTCCCAGATAAATGGAAACAACTTTTGTCTTTTTTACACGTTTAGCAGGGTAAATATCTCTTGCAGGTGGAAATTTGAAGAAAAAAAATCCCGAGCCTACCTCTGCCGAGTTTTTATTTTAAAATGTAAACATTCAGACTAAAACCATTGTTTAAGTTTGAACTCAAACATAAGCAGATTGCTTTTTTTTTTTTTTTAGGTAAAACAGATTTTGTGTACTGTATTAAGATTTTCTGAGCATGGTGTTTCTTAGTGCTAATGTGATCAGATCAGTTGCAATTTGACTATTTTGAACACTTGAACAAAGAAGACACAAGCAATCGGTTGCACAGTTTGTTGCCTGGCATATTTGGCTTTCTCCTCAAGTACGGACTTGATTAACAATTTAGGAATTTAATTTAACGCAAATAAATAAATGTTTCTTTTATATATACACACACATATATCTATTTTTATATATATCTGTATATGTAAACATACATAAATATATACACATGTATATATATTTATATATGTATGTATATGTATATATATATATATATATATATATATATATATATATATATATATATATATATACTTACTTAGTCGCTCCTCTTCTACCTTGGGGTGTAGAGGTTTGCCAGAGAGATCGCCAGAGTCTCTATCAGCAGTTTATATATATATATATATATATATATATATATATATATATATATATATATATATATATATATATATATATATATATATATATATATAGCGACCAGGAAAATGCAGGTTCACGACCATGTCTTTTTGTTTGCACATTTATGCCAGGCAATACAATGCAAATTTTCATTTGTTCAGATTGACAATGGTGAAACATTACTTTTTTTTTGAACTGTGACATCTCAACGCTTACATTTTTACCGCTGATTTTTCTAAACTTAGCTTCCAGATTTGACCAAAACAATCTTGAGTTTCTAACACTTTGTAATTATGCTCCTTATCTTTCTAAATGGATTTGTGTACATGATGATTATTGTCATGTTGTACTTGCAGCACAAGAAGTGATCCTAGAAGAGAATGTTCTGCTTCCACTGCCCCCCGAGCTTCCACCCGAGCGGAAGATCTCTAACTTTGGACTATCCGTGTCCGTCACATGCTTCATGTAAGTGTTTCCATTTGCTGTTTTATAGTATCATCCTAATCGTATTTCCTATCAGGAGTAGCCGCGGTGGAGCGATTAGACACCCACCTGGGGATCTGATAGCCGTGAGTTCAATCCGAAGGGAACCGGACATTTGTCAAAAAATGACCCTGGCTTCCTGATTGACCCAGCTTTAAATAAGTATCAGATAAAGTCCTGAGAAGTAAATACGATCGGTGTAATGCTGACCACATACCGAGCACCGATTAGTCTTTGAAATACAGGTCTAGAAACTATACAGCTGAGAGCGGGGAAAAGGGGTCCTTTACTTTTTGTATCAGATCGATTAGCATAAGTGCTGAAGATCTGTTGCTTTTAAGATCACCAGTATCAGATATATAAGCATGAGTGCTGAAGATCTGCTGCCTTCAAGATCACCAATCTAAGATCGATAATCATGGGTGCTGAAAATCTGCTGCCTTGAGGATCACAAATCTCGTATCGATTAGTATGAATGCTGAAGATCTGATGCCTTTAATATCACCAGTCTCGGATCGATAAGCATGATTGCTGAAGATCCGCTGACTCCAAGATCACCAGTCTCGGATCGATAAGCATGGGTGCTGAAGACCTGCTGCCTCCGATACCACCAGTCTCAGATCGATAAGCCTAAGTGGTGAAGATCTGCTGCCTCCAAGATCACCAAACTCGGATCGATAAGCATGGGTGCTAAAGATCCGCTGACTTCAAGATCACAAGTCTCGGATTTTCCAGACTTCCTTTTCTGTGTTCATTATTAAAAGATTAGATGGCATGCTGTGCTGTCGTTTGCAGCTATGCCGATATATCTCCGTTTTTTGGTTTTACACATCAAATTCCAACTCTCAATTAGTCGCATTTTAAGACAATGAGTCTGTTGTTGATGCTGTTGTTGATGTTGCTATTGTTGTTGTTGGTGGTGGTGTTGCTGTCGCTGCGGACTGTGCATGTTAGGATTTTATTTTTGCCCCTGACAGAAGAACATGAATGACCTGGCCAAGGATTCGAACTTGGGTTTTCAACGCAAGAGCCTAGTGTTTTAACCGCTTTTTGTTTTCTTAGTGTTTTTGCAGTGAAGCGAGAGGAGTAGGGCGTAGTTTCCTGTCTTTTGCTTATTTTGTGACTTGCGTTAATGTCATTCTGTATTTCTGTAGTTTCTCTTTAACTTCATCAGCCCATGTCTTTCTTGGAGGGCCTCTTGGTTTATAGACTGCTGTTCTTTAGTAGTACGCTGCAGCTGCTGAACGATTTTGTTCTATTCTGACAAGATGACTAAACCAACTGATTCTTTGAAGTTCTATGAAATCATTTATCAGCACTGTATCTATCATTGTTCTCAGTTCTTGAAGGTGACTCTGTTTCTTGTTTTTCCTGCTACATTTCTTATACATATAATTTCACATGTTATTTGCGTGTATTTATTTCTAGGACTGTCCGTGTGTGGCACTGATAGTTCAAAGTTGCTCTGAATAGCGCATTTCTTCTCTAACCATTCGATAAGCTGCTCCTTTCATTGACAGACGTACAGTCCCACCAGGACATCACACCAAACAATAAACACCCTTTGACACAAAATGCCACCATTCGGATTAGGATCACCAAGCCACAGTTAACAGAAACTCCGTTTCTGTCCCATAGGTTGGTTTATTCTTAGGGCCCCTAGCAACAGCCAGGGTTGGGCTTGAAAACAAAAACAAATTGCGTCCGACATTGGGACGCAGTATATTACGCTCCTTTCATTGAAAAGGCGCGCTAGTCACTGAAGCTGAATAATACCGTGCTTTTGACATTTAGCATAATTAAGTTCTTCTTCAGCAAATTATGCAAACCATTCCAGCTCTACTGTTTGCCAACTATGAGATATTTGATGCTCCGGAAACGATCACCAAGTCACCCATGGAACAGTTCTCAAGTAGCACGCCACTTCCCACGCCCTACGAAGTACTCACCCTTCACTGGCAATGTCTGCCTGGATACCCTCTCCGGGTAACTCAAGATCTTTCAAAGGGATTTAACGTGACAGAGACTATAATTGACACTAATTTAATAACGACCATAGAGTTAACCAACAAGTGATCCAAGATGTGCTAGGGCAAGTCTCAGATCTGAACAGTTGTGCTCGGAATTGATTAATTGGATTGTTTGGTGTGTGGTGGATAATTTTTGGTGTCCGCAGAACTCTTGGTTGATAAAATCATCTGTGAACTGCTCTTTGTTGTTTACTTTAGGATTCAAAGAGGGCTACGTCGTCTGAGGGCATTCTGTCTGCCTTTAGTGTTAGAGGTTCCGGGTTCAGTCACCGGTAAGGGCTGGGATTTTCTCACGTGAACTTAGACTTCTAGTACCCCCCCCTCCCTCCTAGTCTCTGGGCAGTGAGATCGGGCGCCCGTGTGCATTGTTGGGCACTTAAAAAAATCCCCTGACAGTTGGAAATCGAAAAGAGTAGCTTAACAGCGATGCCCGGGCACAATTTGGAGTTTAACATTTACCCAAAGTATTTCGGGATCCTCGCCGTTGCTACGGAACCTGTGCACTTTGCTGAGCTTCTTTGGACTTAGACTTGAGTTAGAAGAAGAACGAAGCACCTATGGGTGCACGTATGGAAGCACCTATGAACTGTGCCATGATGTTGATCCGTTGTTCAAACTTCAAACCTCAAACTTTTAGATTCAATCAGTCGATAAGGTTCCGTCTTCACAATAAAAGTTGGTTGCAATGGATCACTGTCATGCTGTGCCTCTTGCATTCATAGTACGCTATCTCAGACTACTGTTCGTTAGGCTTTTGATATATTCCTTCCACTTGTATCTTTGTCTACCTCTTGCTCTCTTGCCTTAGATTTTCCCCCTCCAGTATAGTTTTGAAAGAGTCGTATCACTTTTTATTTTACCGAAATATTTCAACTGTGTCCTTATTATTTTCTTCAGTAACTCTTTGTTCAGTAATTCATTGTAACGCACATGAAAGTAAAAGACCCTTTTCAACCTTTTCAGGAGTATTCGGCATATATGGCTAGACCTATATTTTAGAGATCAGTCGGCACTCGGTGGGTGATGTAGTCAGCACCACACCGGCTGCCTTTACTTTCCAGGACCTTACCTGGTACCTACTCAAGGCTGGCTCGACCTAGGAGCCACTGTCATTTTTGAAAAAAAAAAGTCCGAATCCGCTAGGTCCCGAACCCGCGACAAAGCGCCTTTGCAATTCGTAAGCTACACCCATCTACTATTTTATACGTGTATATATATATATATATATATATATATATATATATATATATATATATATATTATATATATATATATATATATATATATATATATATATATATATATATATATATATATTTCTATATAATCATCACTTGCCTGCGACTGGCGAAGAGGTTCATGCATCTCCACATATCTCGGTCCCTTGTCCTCTGGATCAGTTCAACCGATAATATCCCTCCGTTCCACCGTCGCAATCCATCTGTCATTATCTCCCATCACACGACGAAATAACGGTGCTTGTCTTTTCCTTAATGCTGTAAATAGTGATGTGCTTTAATCTGCTTCCTATATATATATATATATATATATATATATATATATATATATATATATATATATATATATATATGCTTATGTGGTTTCTTAGACGAGTGTTACCAATACCTTGGACGGCCAGAGTAACTAGCAACGTTTGATTGAAAGAAGCTAGTGAAAGTACATCTCTTTGTACAACAATAAAAAGACAATCGCTGTTCCTTGGCCACGTAATGAGAAGAGATGCATTGGAAAATATCGTGACAACTGGAAAGATTAGTGTAAAGAGGAGTAAAGGCAGCCCAAAAGAGATTATGCTGGATTGGCTAAAACAATAGCATGGAGGGATATCATCAAGAGAGCTGTTACAGGCAACCAGGGATCGTGATCTGTGAAGATGCTTAAGCGCCTACGCCAGCTGGCAGGGCACATGATGATGATGATGATAAATGCTTATTGAGCAACTTGCGTTAATGTCCTACTGCATTTCTGTAGTGTTTCTTTTACTTCCTCTATCTGTATCTTTATTGGTCGGCCTCTTGCCTTGTAACCTGCTGTTCTCATGTAGCATACAGACATAAAGACATATATTTATTTATCCAACAGATCCGGGCTACGGGTTACATACAGATTTACACGATGAGGCGTTTGCTCGCCGCAAGCAGAGGAGAAACCGGACAACCTTCACGCTGCAGCAG